ACTGCACAGAGAAGCCCAGGTACTGACACACACACCTGAACATGAAGAGATTACACATTCTTGTGTACACACCCACATACAATTACATGTATAAACATGCCTGGGACTTGTATAGGCAGGGCATACATCTGAATAGGACCAATGCTTACTGCTTGCACTGCATGCTCATGCACCCACATAGGTATATACACACCTACACACTGAAATCTGGTTGCTTGATTGACATCTACACTCACCGAGGCCTGGAAGAGCACAATTAAACATTCACTTTGGGGCTTCAGCCTTGTGAACTTCCGTATAGCAGCACTCTGGAAATGGCAGCCAGGACTTGAACAAAGTGAGCTTCCCCTCAGCAGTGCCCTTGTCCTCCAGCAGTATAAGCAGTGCCCTGGCCAAGCAGTCTGGGACACTATCTGAGATGAGAGAACATGAGCAAGGTTCACAGATTTAGAAGCCAACAAGCTGTCCCCTTAAATGCTCCGTCCTTCCCCCCAAGCCCAGCCCTATGTGCTAGAGAGCTGATATGACTTTTGTCTTTCTAAGACTACTTACAAAGGGCGGGTGTGAGAGAGGCAGAGACACCCGCGTAGGGAAGGAACAGCTGTGCCTGTGTTCCGGCATGGAGAGATGTAGTGCTCTGGGAAACGGGGTCCCGCAGGTCAGCTGTGGAATGAATGGACTGTTTATTTCAAAGCACTGACATGCCACAGCTGTCTCTGCCTGGCCACTCAATAGGCAAAGGAAGAACAGCCTGGTCCGGGCACCAAGGAGACGAAGCGCCCTGGTGAGATCATGTAAGGCTCGGCCTCCCCCACTCCGTCAGAGCTCAGTACCCAGCTTCATCGCCCCTGCGCTGTCTTCAACCTGCTGTAATGCTGGAGCTTGGGCTCCACCCTTCCCTCCAAGGCATGGGGGGGCGCAGGTCAAGGCCACCCTAGAGTTTGCTGCCACTGTCTCACCCTAGGGGCTGCCACCTCATCTCAGAACAACAGGGACTGCCTCCTCAAGGGGAGCGGGTCCAGGCCATGTCTTCATGGTAAACTGACTGCCATCAGCAGTGCCCTCAAGCAGGCCACACTGCTCCACAGAAACAGTGTGGCCATGTGGGGCACTCCAGGTGACCTAGTTAGCACTGCTTAGTGCCTGTACCAATTAGCTTGCCCCTGATGCTAACTAGTCCATCTGCAGTGTTGCACAGGTACAAAGATGCTGCTTCTGGCCCACATGGAAGCCTGTTCAGGACAGCACAGTGAATGGGAGGGCACCCCTGCCAGCATGGTGAATCTGCTACACAGACAGGGCAGTGGTGTCATTCATTTCAAGCTATCCCACTATCAGTGGTTCCCGATCCTGGTGTGGAAGAAAGTACTTTCTGCTGAGGGGAGAGGGGACCTTCCTCCCCATGACACCTGACAGCCCTACCACACTGTACTCTGGGCAGATCCTACTCAGATTCTTAATGGGGAAATGCAAGTCATGCAGCGTGAGGATAGGAAAATGGAGGGGGGCCACACTTTATCCTCTTCCGACAGCCCCCATGAGTCTAACACAAGCTCTTAATTCCAGCCTGAACTGTCCAACCATCTCCTTGGCAACACAGGCTGGCTAGGGATACTGCTGCACCACAGGGCAGCTTTTGTTTCTTTAAAACAAAAGTAAAACCTGAGAAGGAAGCAGTGTGTCAAATAACCAGTGTTTGTGCGAAATACAAACACAGGCTGAATAAGCAGGTCTGTTCCAGGAAACAGGTGGAGAGGGGTGAAGCAAGCAGCCTGGCCCCACCCTCCTGCCACATCCACGTCCAGCCTGTGCATGGGGCAGGTAGCCATGTGTACCTGTTTTAGTCGACCGTACACATGCAGATGATGTGCTATTACTTCCTGGCTGCACTGGTCCTGTGACACAATGCACCTGCTGCAGGGGGACTCCAAAAAAGGCCAACTCTTGTAACAACAAACCTTGGCACCTTTCATCCGCGGGGCTCAGAGCACTCCCCAGTGGCCTCACAGCCCTGCATGCCAGGGTGCGGTGGGAGCTGGAGGGTGGAATGCAGCAGCATGATGATGGGTGGCAGGGTGCGCCACAGCTTTTTTATGAAGACTTGGGGTATAATGATTAGAGCCATGCACCCAGGAAGCGAGGGGTGCTCCATTCAGCTGGAACTACAGACCCCAATCACTGATAGGCCAGCTGGTGCTTCAGCAATGCATGCACTAAATTATGATGCAAAGAGGGAGCTGGGATGTAGGCAGATCAGCAGGGCAAGTGCCCAACTCCTGTCTGGCATCTGACTATCACCCACAGCATAGAGCAGGCCTCAGTTATACATCTCATCAGGAAGAGGGCACCTCCAGAGCCCCATGCCAACTTGGCTGGGGCATTTGCTCAGAACCAGTTCAGGAGAGTAGCCTACCAACTGATCATGAGCCCACATGTCTAAAGTGGCCCAAGGCTTTCTGTGATGCAGCCAAACAGTGCCTGATACGATAGGCTCACTGCTAGAATGCTCTGACTAGCCAGCCCTTTGCTTTCCCCATAGTACTGTCCCATCCAGGCTGTCTGCCTCCAGAATAGGCGACAGAATTCAGCTCCCTTTACCCACAGCTCGCACCTTGACACAATGGGGAGAGCTTGTGGGATCTTGTGACTGCTGCTGAGGAAGGCAGAAGGGGGATTAGAGCCATGCAAGCCAAAACATACAAAGCCAGAGCATGCCCTTGTGATCCTGAAGCCAAGCTAGAGAAACTGAACCCTGGCTCTCAAATGAAACTCCATCTTTTTACCACAAATGTACAGTTCTGAAAAGCAGAGATTTATCAATATCCTGCTATTATACCCCAAGTCTTCATAAAAAACAGCCTAGACAAATCCCAGACATAGAGTGGCCAGAAAAAATCATCAGTGGAGTGCTACAGAGAAGGACAAAGCAGAATGAGAATGACACAGCTGAGGAGGAAAGATCAAAGACCAAAGCACTGGCATGGCTGTTGCAAGAGGCATCAGGGCTGGCCAATGATACCATGGAGATGTGCAAGACATGCCACACCTGCAGCCAGCAGAGCTGTCTTGAAGATACAGTATTTGCACTGAGTAGCAGCCCTACACTGGACAGGGTGGCTTGGCCTAGCAGCTGGCCTGTAAGAACCCTCATTCATTAGTTCCATTTAATGTGCGTGTGTGCGTGTGTGTGTGTGTGTGTGTGATCGCACAAGTATGTATGCTGTGCATTGCTACAATCAAAATTCAGACCCAGGCTGCTGCAGTCCATAGCCAGCCAGCCAGTGTAGACTGTACCAGATGCGACTCCACTGGCCTTTGCTCTTTGCCTAATTTACACACACACGAGCACTTGCACACAAACAGCAGAGTACAGTGAGGTGCAGGGCCTGGGAAGAAGAGCTGCCTGTACATCTGGCCCAGGAGCTCCTTCCATGCAAATGACTTCCCAGTGCTGTTGGGGGTGGGGGGTGGAACAAAATGATCCTCATCCTAAGAGCAGGCAGTAGGAGGGCAGTTCCCTATTGCTGGAAGAGCACTACTAGGCTGAGCCACAGGGAAAAGTGTCGCATTGATGCTCCCAGTCCCCGAGCCCAGAGCCCAGCGCAGTACGAAGCTGTGCCCCAGCCCCAGGGAGGAGCTGGAGCAAGCTGACACTGCAGCTTTGGCTGACCCAGGCTGTGATTTTAAAATCCCACACTTCAACGCCTGGTTCTGCCCTCCCAGTCCCGGAGGCTCACAGCTGGGCAGCTCCTGAGCATTTCTCAGCAGCATCCTGCTAGGCTCAGAGCACCACCTTGTATTTACCAGGCGAAATATCCTGGCCTCTAGATCATAACAGAGAAAGATGGGCTAAAGCAGCAGGAAGCTGTGTCTTTAACTGGCAGGGAAACTTCAGCTTGAGTTACTCAGGGCCGCTTCAAAGTTAAATGAGAGCCCGTTGCCGTGGAAACAGCAGAGGCAGCATTCCCAGCCCTTCTGCACCAGTGCCCCAGGCAGGGAGTGGGGGGGCTTACTACTAGTCCTCCTGTTCCTCTAAGGATGGTGTCTTTTGGAACAGAGGGCTGTAATCTTCCTTTTTTCATCTGTAAAAAGTGACTCTCTGAGGTGTTTTGGAGTCACTCCAATGCCTGGGCACCTCTGGATGCCACTGGGTGGGTTTTATTTGGGTTACTTCCTCTTCCACTGCTGTTAACACAGACCAAGTCAAAGACTGGCAGCTGCATATGCTCATTCAACAACTTTCATCCCCAGCTATATAGGCAGAGCACCACAGAGTTGCAGGCATGGACCTTTGGTGACAAAAGGCAACCAAGTACAGTGAAAAGTAACTAGTGAGTGAGCTTCTGGGAAGAGACATTTTGACTGAGAAGTCTAGCAATGCCCTATAGATCCCTGATGTACAGCTAGGACCACTAAGGAGTCCTCTAACACAAACAAATACTAAGAGGTTATACTTGTGCTGCCTTATACTTTGGGACATTCAAATGGTCCAAAACATGTCTAGGAGTCCTGGAAAGGAAGGTGAGGATGCCCTTACAAGCTCCTGCACACACCATCCAAACAGTTCCAATGAGAAACTGCTCAGCACCTGCTCCCCTTGGCACAGGCCACTCCCAGCACTGAAAGATGACAAAACCAACATCCTTGGGCTCTGGTGGCAATTGCAGACCACCAGCTCGTACCACACACAAGACCAGGCAGTGTGGCTGTGGTCAGAGTGCCAGGACAACCCCACCCATTGATCTTTCCAGTCTGCTAAATTGGTGGTTCACAACCTTTTTTGTACCAGGACCCATTTGTAAACATCAATGGTCAGTCCTGACCCAGTGCCCTTCACTCCCAATCTGCTGCCCCCCAGCCCCAGCCCCAGCTCCCCAGTGTGTGGGACATGGGGGGGCCCCAAGCAGCTCCTCACAGGCTGGAACTCTGCCAGCTTTCAAGGGAAAAGCCATGGTTTCCTATGTTTTTCTCCTTTAAAGGAGAACCCATTTTAAAAGTTTGTTGATCCGTTTTTAAAGTTTGTTTCTGACCCTTTCAGATATTCTTGCGACCCACTTTTGGGTCACAACCCATGGGTTGAGAAATGCTGTACTAAATAACAATGTGTGGCATGTTATCCAAGTGAAGCTATGAAGGCACCACAACCTGATCTAGCAGGTGATGTGGTACCTTGAGAATGACAGCATGATATCAATAGCGCTGCCCATGAATTGCATTACTGCCAAGTCACCTGTGAAGGCCTTAAAAGCACTGGGAATGGAGCAAACCGCCCCCTCACTCAAAAAGGTGTATTCTTGTGGATATCAAGGATTACCTGAAACAACTTCTTTCTCTGAACAAGCAGGCATAGTTTGGCTGTTCATAACTCACCATGTTTCATACACACACTGGATGTTAACAGTAAGAATAGAGGCCTGAGAGCTTCACTGATAGTCACCTATATTGGATAGGTTCTCTGAAAGATAAATAATGTTCAGACAGATGTTCCAGAAACTCAGAGACATTGCAATGCATGCTGTGTAGTCACACAAAGTGCATGTGCCACACCACAATCCCAATTTTGTTATGTTTCCCAGGCTCTTTGCACTCACTTTGCATTAGTATAAGTAGCTGGCTCAGGAAAATGGAGTAGCAGGAGCAAGATATGCACAAGATGATGGTTTGGAGTTGCTGGGGGGGTTTAGAGAAAAGTCTTAGGTAATGGAGAGGAGGGAAAGAAGCACCTTCCAGAAACCCAGGAACTCTCTAGAGGTAAAAATCCACTGAAGTGCAGCTAGTTTTTCAGAATACCATGGTTAGCATCTGCCTTGGCTCCTTCAGACTGTACGTGCTACTGTTAGGGTCCACAGCAGTATTAGCCTGTCCTAAAATCAGTCAGCCAAAAACACACTGAAGTACGAGAATAGACCCAGCAAGCTACAGCTGCTGCTGCACAGCCCACTCTCTACATTAATCTCCAAGGAACAACGTGTGTGTGATAACACACTCCTGAGCATCAGCTTTCAGTATTACACAGGTCTTTAGCCAGGAGGGTCACAAGCTCTAGTGACCTGAGGAAGCAGCGGGTGAATTCAGAACAGAAGTGTGAGATTTCTCTTGTTCTTCACATGTGGCATGATGTACAGGCTGCCCTCTATTAACAATCATTTATCTGAGTACAGAATCTTCCACCTGAAGGTCTAGATGCTTGTTCCAAGCAAAAATGCTTTAAGCCTGTGAATCTTGTATGGTGGCCTTCCAAGGAGAGACAGGCTGCGGGTGGAAGCATTATCCTTCTTCCACTCCTAAATTCCTTCAGATCAGTTTCCCCACAACCTTCCACACTAGCCCCAGGTACTGGAGGGGGCTCTTTAATCCACACAGCCAGAGGGACTCGCAGGGATTAGGAGGTGGATGTGCTGAAGCCACCCGTCAGCAGGCTGCTCCCACTCCTTTTCCGGAGGTCGCAAGGAGGGATGGCGGGGAGTGATGGAAATCTGATCCAACGAGGTCACAGGTCACATTCCCCAAATTCCAAGTGAAAAGACCCTGGCATGTTGTTTTCTTGGAACAAACAATAAAGGTGGAGGAAAGCAGGGGAGCAACACGTAACTTGTAAGGACTGGTGAAGAGGCAGGGCTGAGCTGAGGCTGTTGTGGGAAAGAGTTCTCTACAGATGCCCAGAGCATTTCCTGTCCCATGTCCCAGCTGCTTTCTCCATTGAGACGCTCATCTCTGAGGCAATGTCTCAGAGAGATCCCGTTGGCCCAGCACTCAAGGACGGGGGGGTCACCCATTCACTCCCAGCTTGCTTGGCAAAGGGAGGGTAGTGGAGAACTGTCTTGGCTCTGACTGCACAGTGAGTGGGCGCCACAGCTCAGCTAAGAGCCCAGCTAGGCTCCTTTTCATTCCCAGGCATTTGCTTTGGAGAGGTCCTAGCCTCCTATAACAAAAGTAGTCTCTAGGCAGCAACTCCACCAGCTTTCTGGGGGGGCTTCTGAATGCTACAATTGGCATCTTCCAAAAATATCAAGGTGGATCCATTATGGAAAGCTCAGATCCAGCCAGAGGGTTACGGCTAAAGCCCCTTTTCATCTGGCCAGAGGGTTAGGGCCAAAGCCCATTTATATTCAGACCGTTTTCAAAAGAAGAGCTACAATGTGAGGTTCTGGCCAGGTCCCTGATCCTAGAACAGCGATTCTCAACCAGGATTGCCACTAGATTCTTTCAAAGGTGCTGTGCAATAGTTTCATAGTAGTAGTTTCATAGTAGCTAGGGTCAGGAGGGACCTAAACAGATCATCTAGCCTGACCCCCTGCCACAGGCAGGAATGAATGTTGGGTTCACAAATGTATGCTGGGTTCACAGCAATATTAGCACTGTTAGGGGTACATGTTTCTACATGATTCACAAGATAAACTCAGAGATATCAAATACAAATCCAGAGTGTCACAAATGTTCTGCCCTGCTGTGGTCTTTCTGAGTTCTTTGCAACAGAAGAATTGCTTTGTTATGTTTTCTATAGTCAAGAAACAAATGAAAGCCAAAACCTAGGACTTTCTGTGGAGGCCCTTCAATCTAACAAGGAGTGCCTTGAGTCTAAAAAGGTTGAGCTTTAGTTCAGACCCATCTCTTCCAGTCTCAGCAACCAAATCTGTATTTTTGACTGTCTGGGTCTCAGTATCTATTTCTGAGATCCTGTACAAGTTGCCTTGGTGAAAGGTATCCTTTTTTTAGCTAACAAGCTAAGCAGGCTTGGGCAGGGTCAGTGCTTGAAAGAGAACCCTCCAGGGCAGAGTGCTGTAGGAAGTGGGGTGGATGATTCAGTGAGGTGGTGTTCTCCCTGGAGAGACGGTACAGAAACACTGCCCGAGCACAGTTTTAAAAGGGCACTATGAACTCCCCCTGTGGAGAGACAATGCAGAAATGCTGCCCGAGCAGTGCTAAATGAGCACTCTGAACTCCCTCTGTGACATTTTAGTGAATCCCCACATAGCCCAATGGCCTGGGTGAGGGTGGCATTTGCTGATGCAAGGAGCAGCAGCAGAGGTAAAAGC